GGGAGCCGCCCCTCGGGACCCTGATCAGGGAGAGTCCTGTGGTGAATATGGAGGTCGGAATCCATATTGCTCCGGGCGAGTCCGGTCCGTCCGTGTATTCCGGGACCGGCTAAGCGGTGGTTGGGCCTCAGGGAACTGGGGTAGGATACGTCCGAGGGTACACCCGTTCCCAACTATACCGACCCGCCCCTCCACAGACGATGCGCTGGTATGTTGAAAATTTATGGATAATGTAGAGAAAATTGAAAACGACGTGGAAGAGATGGAAACAGGAGAAATTGAGGCTATTGTCATTCCCGTAGAAGAACCTCAAGAAATTGAAGTTACGGCAGAGATTCACGCAATACCTTCCGTAAATAAGGAAGATGGAAATAGTGTCATAGATGCTGCCTCCAAAGTACAGGAGAAATCAAGAGCTATGAATAAAAGGAGAAGTTCCTTTCCACCCCTATGGAAGACAGCTATGAAAATACATCTGGAGGTAGTGGAGGAGCAAAAAAAGCAGACTGAAGCTTTAGAGAAGGCCATCCTGGCGATCGAAGCGGCGTATATAAAAAATACTCCTAATGAGCTCAAAATTCGAGTCAATTTCGCTAAGGAGGTCTTCGGGACCTTCGGCCTTACCTGTCAGTGGATCTCAGGCAAATGTGGAAAATCCCAAAGAAGAGTGGAAAAAGGTTTCCAAAAAACAAAAGAACAAAAAAAAGGTTAAGGAGAATAAAAAAGAAGAGAAAAAAGCATCCTCAAAAAAAAGGAGGAATACGGAGGCTATTCGAATAAAAGTATTCAACGAAGATACTTATAAAGATACCTTTAGGCAGGTGAAGAAGTCAGTCGACCCCTCTGAAACCGGGACAGAAATTCTGTCAATCAGAAGATCAAGAAAGCAGGAGATGCTCGTTATTCTTCGACGGAATCAGGGTGTTTCTAGTTTTAGTAGTAAACTGGCTGAAGCCCTTAAAGATAAGGCAGATGTCTGCCCTATTGTGACTAAAAGGTCTCTAGAGATTAGAGACCTAGACGAAACAACGGAGGTCGATGAAGTCACAGAGGCGGTGAGCCAAACTTTGGGCAGGACCGACTTAGAAATGTCATGTCGACTTATCCCGTTAAGCCGAGGAGAAAAAATTGCAGTTGTGCAACTTCCGGAAGCAGACGCGGATTCTCTGCTAAAGACGGCTAAGGTAAAGATCGGTTGGATAAATTGTAGAATCCGACCAAGGGTAGAGGTGGACAGATGCTTTAGGTGTCTTTGTTATGGACATCTGTCGAAAGCCTGTCAGAAGCCGGACCGGAGTAAGGTTTGCTGGAAATGTGGCTCTCCTGATCATTCCCACAAGGATTGTAAAAACAAACCTGTTTGTTTAACTTGTGTGGACAAAGGGGAGAAGGAGATCAACCACAATCCAGGAACTGGGTCTTGCCCAATTTATAAGGAGGAACTCAGAAAGCTAAGGGCAAGGAATTAAGGTTCCTTCAGGTCAACCTCGGCAGAGGACGCGTCGCTCAAGATCTCCTGATGCAGACTGCCAGGGAGAGAGGAGCTGATGTACTGCTTATAAATGAGCAGTATAAGAAGCATATATACTCAAACTGGTTTCAGGATGCATCAAAGAGGTCAGGCATAATGATATGCAACCCCGGGCTTGCCATCGGGAAATTTTTGGAGACAGGTGACGGTTTCGTTTGGGTAGAGGTTGCGGGTGTTCGAATTTACAGCTGCTACTTCTCCCCAAATGATCCCCTTGCAAAATTCGACACCGAGATCCTCTCTCTTGAGGAAAGTCTTAAGACTTGCGTCGGGGATGTCCTCATTGCGGGTGATTTTAATAGTAAGTCACCGGAGTGGGGAGAGAGTCGTCTTGACAGGAGGGGATCTTGGTCACCGACATGATCTCCGCAAATGGCCTGGTGGTTTTGAACCGGGGCAAGGAGTTCACGTTTAGGAGGGGAGTATCAAGATCTATTCTTGATTTAACAATTGCGACTCCCCGACTAGCCCGCAGAACAAGTGAATGGAGGGTACTGGACGAGGAAACAATGAGTGACCACCAGTACATAGAGTTTTTAGTCTCCGAGGAGAATTCCAGAGGGCGCGTCGCTCCTAAATATGGTAGCAAGAGCCCCTCTTGGAACCTCAGGAGGCTAAACAGGGAGAAGCTGGTGGAATCCCTGGAAGAGTCGCGATTTATTCGAGAACTAAACTGGGTGAGGAAACCGGCTTCTTTAAAGGGTATAGTGCGAGAGGCAAGGCGAGTGATTGTACAAGCTTGCAATCACTCTATGCCTCGCCGGCAGAAAAGAAAAACTGGAAAGGGATCTATGTACTGGTGGAATGAAGAACTAGCCTGTCTTAGGAGAGACTGCCACGCAGCTAGGAGGAAGTTTACCCATTCTAAGGGAAACCTCCAGCTGCGGGAAACATGGCATAAAGCCAGGCGGACTTTTAAGCAGGCCGTGAAAAGTAGCCAACGCCGTTGCTGGAAGGACCTGATCGGAGATTCCGAGAAGGATCCGTGGGGTTTGGCCTTTAAGATTGTCGCTAAGAAATTAACGACAAGGCATAAAACCCCTGGTTTGGATGATCCGATTTGGGTCCTAGAAATCATAAAGGCACTGTTTCCCTATGTGGAACCTAGCCCCAGAGAGGACTATACTCACTGCGTAGTACGAGACGAGGAGCTCTTCACGATTGAAGAATTAAAAAAAGTGGCAAAGACGTTAAGAAACGGCAAAGCGCCGGGCAATGATGGCATCCCGAGCGAAATCTTAAAAGAGGTTGTCGCAGTGGATCCACAGTTGCTTCTTGACGTATTTAATACGTGCTTGAAAGCCGGAGAGTTCTTCGATGACTGGAAAACGCAGAAGTTGGTCCTTCTCAGGAAAGGCGATAAACCTCTGGATAAGGTAACATCGTTCAGACCAATTTGTTTATTGGATACGATGGGAAAATTTCTAGAGGGAATGGTTCTACAGAGACTTCAGGAAATCCTGATAGGCGAAAATAGCCTATCGGAGAATCAATTTGGCTTTCGGAAAGGCCGGTCAACAGTCGATGCAATACTCACTGTTGTAAACCAGGCAAAGAAAGTCAAAGAGGACAAGAAGAAAGGATTCTGCGCGCTTGTCTCCATCGACATACGTAATGCGTTTAATTCCGCAAGGTGGGACAATTGCATCGAGGCGATGCGTCGTAAAGGGGTACCAACCTATCTGTTGTGAATGATAGACAACTATCTTAGCAGCAGATGGGTTGAATACAAGAGCGATGCATGTCATCTCAACATGAAATGACATGCGGAGCTCCCCAAGGATCAAAGGTGGGTCCATTCATATGGAACGTCATGTACGATGACTTCCTTAGAATGGATTTACCTGAAGATACGATAATGGTTGGCTTTGCGGACGACGTTATTATAGTGTGTGGCGCGGAGAGTCCTGAGATTCTGGAAATAAGGATCAACGACAGTCTGAGACGAGCGAAGTTCTGGTTAGATCTCAACGGCCTGCAAATGGCTATAGAGAAGACAGAAGCTTTGCTCGTGACGGGTAAGAGATCCTTTACAGTCCCAAAGATTCGTATAGGACAAACTGAAGTCTCCTGGGGAAACAGTCTGAAGTACCTGGGAGTGACGTTGGATCGAAAATTAAAGTTCGACCAACATGCTAAGATCACGTCACTGAATGCCGCCGACTGTATGGGAAACCTATCTAGGATGATGCCCAATGTCGGTGGCCCCAGGGAAAAGAAACGCCGATTAGTGGCGACCGTGGTTCAGGCAAAGCAGCTCTACGCTGCACCTGCATGGGCTGAGTCCCTAAAGAACCGCGGCATCTCTGATGAGCTACTCTCTGCGCAGGGTGGTTGTGCGCGGAGAGTAGTTTCAGCCTACAGAACAGTTTCAACGAGCGCTGCTTTGGTTCTTGCGAGCCTTCCGCCAGTAGACTTACTGGCGAGGGAAAGACAGGAAGTCTTCCAACTCAATAAACATCGCGCTTCCTCGCAAGAACAACAGAGTAATAATCTCCTCAAAGCGGTTATCCGAAAAGAGGCGAGATGTAGACTCGTTAAAAGATGGCAAGAGAGATGGGATGGGGATCCTAAAGGAAGGTGGACATACCGCCTGATCCCCAACCTCGCCACTTGGCTAGACAGAAAGCACGGAGAAGTTGGCTACTACCTGACCCAAGTGTTGTCAGGTCACGGATGTTTCCGACAGTACCTTCATAGGTTCAAGATTAAGAGAGAAGCAAAATGCGCCTACTGTGACGCTTCAGTAGATGACGCGGAGCATACTCTCTTTCATTGCGGGCATTGGAACCATGATAGAATGGCTATGTTCACGGCAGTTGGCTTTGAAATCAACGTCGATAACATGGTGTCTACCATGGTTCAAAACGTGGACTCCTGGAGGCATATTGAAACTTTCATTATTAAAATAATGGGGGAAAAAGATAGAGACGGAAGACGAGGTTGACCGGAAGAATCCAATGCTCATCGGTGTGGGAGCGTGGGGGGAGGAAAGCAACTAGTTTTTCCTCCCACCCACGCTCCCACATTGTATGGGCGGATTAAAAGCTCGTTAAGGAGTAGGACAAGGGGACAACCACTTGCGAAGTTCAAGGCCTGACGGTAGTACCGCATGTGGATCAAATGTCCCAAAACAAGACGGGAGTGGTTTTTAGTGGGTCGACCAAAACAAGAGCGGTCATCCCCACATAACCTGAAATTCATTGCTCAGGTATCTGAATTCACAGATTTTCCACTTCCGACTACAAAAAAAAAAAAAAAATAATAATAATAATAATAATAATAATAATAATAATAATAATAATAATAATAATAATAATAATAATAATAATAATAATAATAATAATAATAATAATAATATAATAATAATAATAATAATAATAATAATAATAATAATAATAATAATAATAATAATAATAATATAATAATAATAATAATAATAATTTTTTTTTTTTTTTTTTTTTTTTTTGCGTGGGAAGTGGAAAATCTGCTATAACCTTGGAGGCCTACTTCCAAGTCAGATACCTGGAGCCCGTAATCCTAGGTTATATGGGGATGACTGCTCTTGTTCTGGCCGACCCACTAAAAACCACTCCCTTTTGAGACATATCTCCCCTGGCGGAACTGCTGTCAAGCTTACATCGCCAGTGGAGGTCTCCTTACCTACTTCCAGATCCAAGTCCTTAACAAGGCGCCAGCTGAAGAGGGAGGAGTTCCAATTAAGGTCTCCTCCGTCCTCCGCGAGCGCCCCGCCGAGCAGCAGGAATTCTCCAGGGTAATCTCGCCCTTCTGTCGTTCTCCTTCCTCCACATAACTTCGATGACAAAAGTCTCGATTTCTCGCCATGAGTCCGCGCTCTGCAACATAATTGAAACCATATTCTCGACCGTGACTTCAGTGCCCACAGCCGAAAACATGGCTTCCCTAAGTTCACGCCAGTGCCCGCAGGAAAAAAGCGTGTGCTCCGCGTCGTCAGTGTGCTCTGCTTCGTCGTCACCCGAACCGTTACAGTACACACATTTCGCGTCTGCTTCTATTTTAAACCGATAGAAGTACTGTCCGAAACAACCATGACCCGACATCGCTTGTGTAAGGTAGTAGCCTACTTCACCATGTTGTCTTTCCAACCATGTGGCGAGGTGGGGAATTAGGCGATGAGTCCATCTACCTTTCAATTCCCCATCCCATCTCTCCTGCCAACTCAGAACGAGTCTTTTTCTTGACTCTAAGCGGATTAGAGCTTTGAGTCTTTCTCTACACTCCGGGTTGCCTACCAGATCTTTGGAGAGCTGGAAATTCTCCTGCCTTTCCATCGCCAACAAATCCATTGGCGGTAATCTAGCAAGCACCCGAAGAGCGCAATCAGACACCGTTCTGAAGGCTGACGTTATTCTCCTTGCTGGCTCTCTCTGGGCCGAGAGAAGTCTGTCAGAGATGCTGTGGATCTTAAGGGCTGAAGCCCATACAGGGGCAGCATAAAGCTGCTTTGATTGAACCACAGTCGCCACCAGTCTTCGTTTATTTTCCCTGGGGCCACCGATATTGGGCATCATCCTCGAGAGGTTTCCCATGCATTCGGTGGCTTTGAGTGTTGAGATGTTAATATGTTGGCTAAAACTTAAACGTTTGTCCAACCACACTCCCAGGTACTTAAGCTTATTTCCCCATGCGACTTCAGTTCCTCCCATTTCAATCTTCGGGGCTTCATAAACTCTCCTGTCTGTGACGAGTAGAGCTTCGGTCTTCTCGAGAGCCATTTTCAGACCATGCCGATATAACCAAAATTCAGCTCGCCGCAGACTATCTTCAAGTTTTATTTTTAGCAGTCTCAAATTCTCGTCGTAACATATCAAAAGCACGTCGTCCGCGAACCCGGATATAGACGTATCTTCGGGTAAGTCCAACCTCAGAAAACCGTCATACATAACGTTCCAGATG